TGTAGCAATTAATGGATAAATACAGGTTATAGGTATCACCTCAAGGCTAGTTTTAGATCACTTGCAGCCACAGGTCAGGTCTTAAGACTCTTCAGTTGGAAATCCAAATGGGGACTACTTGAAAATGAATCTTTTCTCGTTGCTATATATTCAATACTTGGATTTTGTTCAGAGAAGCTCATCTGCACTTGTGCTCTGTTTTACCAGCACATCAAAAACAAACACAAGGTTGAAAAGTTCAACCTGGATTTCTCACATGCACGATACATTTTTGCTCATCGAACTGCCCACCTACTCAAAGTTGGATTCTCAACGCCTCACTGTTCTAATGCCTGAAAGAATCTTAAGCGTACAGAGGTCAACAGTGTTAACGTAAACCCCCTGCAGCTTCGCAAACTGCTTATATATTTATTTCTTCTCTGGTGATTACAAATGTTGACCCCTCTCTTCCAGTTTGAGTAACCTGATGTTAAGAATGCAACAGCATTGTCTGTTTACTATCAATGCTAACAATTGCTAACAATCATTTTTTAAAAAAAAACTCAATATATCGCTGTGCATATTGTATTGCAGTAAATTGCAATATATCATATCGCTGAGTCGTGATACGTACGGTATTTACTTAATACATACCCCTAATTGAAACTTCCGATCTATACAAACAACACCCAATTGTTAGTAGCGCTAATTCAGTTCAGAAAAACAAACTAACCTTATCGCTAACACGACAACTCACCGTGTCGTAAATACAAACTAATACATACGTGGCAACATCAGCAACACAAAAAATTAGCCATAAATCTTCGCTAATCAAAACATTATGATATCATCTTGACTGCTCCACTTTTTATGTTTCATCTTCTACTGTCGTCCCACCTTGGTCAAAGTCGTATTTCCTGTGTCTTTTAAGTTTTCCATGTCAGTTCCTGTTGATACTTATAGGAAAAAAAAGAAAGATCACCATCTTTCCCTGGAGAGTCAACTGTTTTTCTTGACATTTTCCCTGCTGTGGCAGCTACGTATTTTTTTATTTATTTTCCAACACAACGTGAACTTTACATTAATAGTCTGCTGTCTGCTCAGCTGTAGTATTTTAAAGGGCACATGTGTTCTAGTTCGTTGCAATTGAGTCACACTGTATGTGTGTAACATAGGTGTGTGTGAAATGGGTTTTTACCCCAGGACACAGCTCTAGATAACTGTTGTAGTGTTCATTATATACATTTATTTCTTTATTTTTTTTATTGTTAGGTTCAGTCTAAATTTTCTTTTCTGCTTTTGTTGATCTTGTTTGGTTCATTTGTCTGTTGTTTTCTACGTGATGATGCTTTATGTCAAGCTGTTAGTTAGTTGGTAAAAAAAAACGTATTAATTAGGGATGGCTCAGTCTAATGCTCACGATCAATACTGGTGTGATATTGGTCAAAATTTCAGGATCAAATGTTGAAAAAAAAAATGACTATAGCATGTCCAATCTGGTACCTAAGACCAAATGCTTAACCTAACCTTGCGTGTAATGCAACAGCAGCATGTGTTAGCTGTAGCAGAAACAAAGGTACCAGATTGGTATCGGCAGATACTCCGAGTTGTTGTGTTGGTGACGGACAAGAAACGACGAGAAATAGGGATGCACGTAATATTTTGCCATCGAACCTTTATTATCAAAACAGTGCGGCTGAAACGGGATGTTTCGATGACATGGGCGAAAAACGAGGTTAGCACGATGATATTTCATCATGACTTAATTGAGCTGCTTTATCAAGATTGCTGCTTGGGCGCGGGAATGAAGCCGCTAACATGAGAAATGATACAGGTGCGGAGAATGATGATTGATTGATGACGAAGCACACATCGCCGGAAAAGAGAGCAGAGCGCAGAAATCGCGACCTACAACAATCATTGTTTTGATATACTATTTTTTTTAAAAATTTTTTTGCTATCTTTTAGCAGTTGCACTTGTTTTGAATGCACTTTTTGTCATAGTCCTACAAAGAAAAGTATAAAATGCACTTGACTTAAATGCGCATTGTGTTTCAAATTTTACATAACCATTTTTAAAAAATTTTTTTTTTTTGGTGTTTCATTTTTTTGGCTTTGGTTTCCGCCATGTTAATCTGGGTGCAACCTCAAAACGAACGGAAATCACCCTGTTGGTCAAACTCAAGAGTAACTGTAAAAAAAAAGTCGGAGTGCTTAATCAGCAGTAGGGCCACCATCTTTGTTCTCCACGGCTTGATTCTTTATCGACTTTTCCGTCATTTGAGCTGAAGCTTAGTGTCATGGGAGGTTGGATCATTCCTATACCAGAAAGCCTCCAGTTCTTTGAAAGTTAAAGGAAGTGAAAATCTTTGCAGTCGGTCCCCTGAAACCTCACCCAGTTTCAGATGTGAGAGCTCTGGAGGTCTTCTTGGACTTTTAGCATTTTTTCTCTCCTCATGAGCCATTATTAGATGGAAAGTTTGAGCCTGCTTGCACCAAAGCTAGAAATAGACAACTGTTCTTGTCCGTAAGGCATGTAAGTTTGATCAGCTGTGTGGGATTTTCTTTTTTTTTTTAACCAAAAGTACAGAGGTCGGGCTGTTGTGTTTTTTTTTTATCTGTAGATCAGAGAAGCATGGGAAAAAAAAATAGAAAATTTCTTTGGCCTGGTGGAGTTTTGGTCCAGAGGCGTTGTCTCTGTCATTGGTGTGGAACCCCAGGGTTCACCTCCTGGGCAAGTTCGAATCAGGGCGGTTGGTACCTTCCAGTGGACTCACCACCTGCAGGAAGGTTTGGGGGGTTGGTACGGTGCAGTGTGATTTGGGTGGCGGTCATGGAGACTGCTGCCCCCGCGACCCAGTAACGGATAAAGATGGATGGATAGATCTTTGGTCCGTTTTTAGCAAATGGCAGCGGGTACAAAGAAGAGTATTTTACCTTAGAAGCATTTACTGAAATAAATATTAAAGGTCATTCAAGGGATTCATTGGTAGATAATAAGTAAATATATAAATGTAGTCATTCTAAAGGCAAGAGTTATGCAGGAACTTGCCATCAGAAAGCTCCGGGTTCATTATTCTAAAGGCAAGAGTCATGCAGGAACTTGCCACCAGAAAGCTCCGGGTTCAATACCACCTAGTCCCCAAATTCCCAGCTTTAGTCGCGTCGGAAAGGAGAGCCCGTGTAATAACTGCCAAATCACGGAGCAGATTAAGACTGCGGCGCGCTGTCAATAAAGTCTCATTCAACGCCACAAATGTCCCCACAGTTGCTCGGCGTCATCCATTCCTAAAACAAATGGATGGAGCCATGGCTGTCTGTTCCATCCGGTAGCTTTGGAATTTTTTTTTTTTTGGTCTGAATTAGCAGACGAGCAGCCTAACTTAGCCAATATTCTTTTTATGAAGCACAGGAGTGTCCGCTTGCAAACATGAAAAGACTATCACTTAATTGGGCAGCTGCCCGCATTGTGGAGCCAACTTTAGCACAGCGATGAATTTAAAAGACATTTATTGGGGAGGTGTAATAATAATAATAAAAAAAAAAGCTAATTATAAAATGTAGTTGCAAGAGTAAGTAGTCAAATCACGTGAATAAAGGCAACGGAAGGAATTCATTAAAATCCGCTTATTGAAGATGGTCTTTCAGTATCATCAATTGAGGAAATATTTTAGTGTGAAACTATTCTCCAACGTGGGCCAAAAGAAACGCAGCGAGCGCGGAAGACGAACTGCTGCCGATTTCCATAAAGCGGTAAAGGTTTGCTCAGTCATTTCACAGGGATCTTTATTAGACAATGGCGTGAAGGATCTCGTTCTGTGGCTGCTTTTCCCCCCCCCCTCAAAGTTCAGTGTCAGTTCACCGTTGCAAAATGAAGACGCGGGGCGTTTCGCTGAATACATAACGAGGGGGCACATAAATATAGGAGGTAAAAATCCCAGCAACTGGGGAAAGCTTTAAGGAATCGTTGGAGCGGTTAAAATCTCTATGAATCAAGGCTTGGCTAATCATAATGTCCGGCTGCTTCAAGCATGGTGTCCTTTAGGGGGTGCTGTGATGAGAGGCGCGGTCAGAAACAAGAACTGCGACTTCTCTTGCATCCATAATCCTCCAAATCCGAGTCCAAGTTTGAAGGGTTCGACACGCTGGCTGCGACAGCTATAACTCAACAGAGCTTGTAGCTTGTTTACCGAACCGCAGTGTTGCTGGTTCTGTCATGTAACAATAAGTCAATACTCATGTGGAGGGGGTGAAAGGTACCGTTAATGAACCATGCAGGTGTGAGAAGGGGAAGCTCTAAGGGGGTGAGTGTGTATCCGTGAAGCTAAGGTGCAAATGTTGAATCCCCCCCCCCCCCCCCCCCCCACTAGCACACTGACCTTTCACACGGTGGGTGGGGAAGGCAGAGGGTTGCTAATTACCCACCTACACAACAACAGCCTTCCTGACGCTGCCCACTCAGGACACCACCTGACCTGCAGGCACTCACCACGCGCTCCGTAGGCGTGTGATAGGCCCAGTATCAAATCGCACCTGGGAAAGGTCACTTACCATTACTGTGTTGACGGATGTGCGATGTGATTTAAAAGTGCGGTTGACCACATACACACACGCAGTAGTGCGTGACGGTGGATGAGACGTTGGACAGAGTCGAACTATAAAAAGTCATGTTGACAGCAGCTTCGTTGGTTTATACATGGGTGATAGAATTCCGGCAAGTAAGAGCAGAAAAAAAGTGACATTTATCAGAACACTGATTTAACCTGTCATGGTTTTTATCAGAGTGATATTATTTTCTTGAAAGATGCACGTGATGCAAAACGCCGACGGAACGACAGACTCAAGGGTGGAATTCATTTCAGTGCAAAATGATTAGATCTAAACCGATTGAATATAATAGGGAAATAATAATAATAATAATAATAAAAATGATTCGATCTAAACCTGCTGATTTTCCTTGAGGTGAAACACTTGGATTTCTTTCACTGATCATAGGTCTCAATCTGTGTTGTTTCCCTCAGATGAAGACCGTCAGTGTGGCCCTGGTGCTGTGCCTCAATGTCGGCGTTGACCCTCCTGATGTGGTCAAGACCTCCCCGTGTGCCAGACTGGAATGTTGGATAGGTGGGTCTCTCCGTAATCTGGAATTGAAAGAAGAAAAAAAAAGATTATTCTTCTGTTTGTTTTCTTTCTTTCTTTCTTCTGATGCTTCATCTCCTTTTCTGTCTTGTCCTTTGTGATCTTCTTCAAGATTGTTTTTTTTCGTCTGCTTTTTCTTCTGATTTCTACGTTCTCTTCTTTTTTTTTCCCCGATGTCCCCTTCTCCTTTCATTGTCCCTTTTACTCCTTCCTCTTTTTTTCCTTTTTCTGCCTTCTTCATCTCCTCGTTCTACGTTCTTTTTCTACTTCTTCCTCCATCTTGTTCTACCGCCGCTCTTTTATTATTCTAATCTTTCTCTTTATTTCCTTCATTTTCCCCCTAGTTCTGCCTTCCTTTTTTCTTCAACGTCATAGATCATACTCTTCTCCTTCTCCTTCTTTTTTTGTCTCCCCTTTGTTTTGATTTTGTTTTGTTTTTCTTTTACCACCTTTTCTCATCAACCTTCCTCCCCTGCAGCCTTCCACCTGAGCATTCATTGATTTCAGCAACTTCAGAGGTTCTCTCTGATAAGACAGTTTGTGAAACAGATGTTTATACTATAAACCCGAAAACAACCAAAGTGCTTCGGTAAATACCAGAAAAACTCCTCCATCACACAGCAATATATACGGGCTCTGCTCAGAACAGCATATCAGTGTCTCCTACCAACAGGCCCATATGTAATTCTCTGCCTGCTGAGTGTAATTTGATATGTTCACGATCCATATTCTGCTTTTCTTCGTGCTATATTGACGCTTCCTCATCAATAATTCAAATGCAAAGCCAGCTGCCTTTTCCTTCCAACTACTGCTTTTGATTTTTATAAGAAAGTATCTTTTGATGTCTGGACATGTATTAATGATCGGGGCGTTTTGAACGCACCTCATCACTGTATGTGTGCCGTATATATGGTCGGTTGTATAAAGTACATGGCTGGGTGTGTCACTTGTATTCGGAGGGAGTTTATTTTAACCTGTAAAAGTAACTATCCTCTGTGTGTGTAAAGTGAGTGTTGTTTTCACACCCGGTTTGTGTTCGCTCTTCAGATCCTTTATCGATGAGTCCACAGAAGGCTCTGGAGACCATCGGGGCCAACCTCCAGAAGCAGTATGAAAACTGGCAACCCAGGGTGAGTGGGTTCAATGAACCAGCATGTTTTCCTCCTTAGGCTGAGTGAAATCTGAATTTGTGTGGTTAGAAGTGTGACCCTGTGACTATGTAAGGCCTCCAAGTCTTGAATATTGTGACCACGGTCATGTTCTCACCGATAGTTTGTTACGTTAATTGGACAAAGTTATCCCCCACTTTAGGAATTTAGTTTCGTTGGTTCTGGCAAACACTGCCTTGACTGCGAACGTGTGTCAGAAGTAGCTTTTTACACAATCGTGTAAAATTTTCACTTCCCAGACAGTTTCTTGGCTCTCCGTTGCACCGAGCGACAAACACCGTTCTGGCCCGGGCGAATGTTTAACTGACAAATTGGCTTGTTCAGCGTGTGAACGTGATGTATGCGAGCATGGAAACCCGTTTGGCGCAGGGTGTCACGGTAAATGTGGTGGCCCGTAATTCACTGCGTTTACGTTCAGTGATGGTTTGAATTTGTAAGAGGATGAATGGCTTCATTGAATACATCTGATGCTCTTCTATGTGCGCCGTGCCAACAAACGCCCACCTGATCTCCACCGTGATTCATTGTGTTTTATCCACACATATGTATATGAAGGCTTCCTGCATACTCGGCTGTTTCACGCCTTGATGAATTTGCATCTTTGCGTAAATAATTTTGAAGTCCTTTGGAATTTTGTCTTATTTTTAAAAAAAAAAAAAAAATCTGTATCACCACTCTTGATATAATCGCTCTGTGTCATGTGTCATGCACAGCTGAATTAGTCTAGTCTAGTTCGGTTTCGTCTAGTCTAGTCTGGTCTGGTCTAGTCTAGTCTAGTCCAGTCCAGTCCAGTGTAGTCCAGTGCAGAGTTCCCCAACTTTTTGGTACGCGGTAATACTGTGCCATCGTTAAGGGTTCATTAAATTTCCAAAATAAAACATCTCTTAGACTTTATTCTGTTAGTATCAGCGTCTGAATGACCTATTGTGTTGAAATTACCAGATTATCTTTGAATGAAAAAAAATAAAGGGATATGACTGGATTATTTTTGAATGAAGTAAATTAGTAAAACTCAAGTACATTTTTGTCCCACTGCGGCCCGCTACAAAATGACCTACGGACCCGCACCGGTCCCCGAACCGGGGGTTGAGGTCTAGTGTACTCCGGTCTAATCATGTCTAGTCTATTTTCGTCTTGTCTAGTCTATCCTGGTGTAGTCCAGGTTTGTCTAACCTGGTCCAGTTTAGCTCAGTTTAGTCTAGTCCAATGTTGAGTCCAGTCGAGTCAAGTTGAGTCGAGCTCTCTTTCCTTGTGGTAGCTCCTTCCAGCTATTTCTTTTTCTTAACAGTCATTTTGAGAATGAGGAGCGGAAGAGACCTGCACAATCAACGGCAGATCTTATCTTCTGAAGAGTTAGTATTCCAAAATGCAACGCAAACAAGGCCTTGTAATTCACTAATCCCCTTACATATTTTTTAGGCCAGACGGCAAGAAAGTAATAGAGAGCAAATATATGAGGATGCCATTGCCACAGCTGCTAATAATTGAATTTTGGAGAGGGATGATTTGGACTGTCATATTGATATAAAGGTGCGACTTGCCCACTTACGGTCCAGATCTGTCTGCTGTAAAGATGCCGTTGTATTAAGAGTAATAGAAAAACATTGACTGTTGAGCTCAACTCGCGTTGATTGACAGGAAAAAAAAATCCACACTTGAACTTCTGAACTCTCGGCTGAGACATAATGACTGGACTCGTGTTTTCACTATCCAGTCTTTGTCTGACCCGTCATGTGGGTAAAGTCCAAATAAATAAGCAATCACTCGAAATCTGATCACAGTGGAGAAGCCTGGCAGCTTCGGCAGATATTGAATCTGAGCTTAATTTCAAGCCACTTGAAAAATAATATTTTTGAGGCTTAAATTTGATCGCTTCTGTGGAGACTTGACTTTAATGAAATGTAGAGGAAAAAAAGACACAGAGATGGATCAAATCTGTGTGAACATGGCTTCCGAGGAAACAGCACAGGTAGAGATAGGTAGAAGAAAAGCACGAAAGGTGAAAGAGAAACGGCCTGGTCACACACTACGATTACTTTGATTAAAACTGTTTAGTGCCTCGGCATCATTCTTATGTGTTTAGTAGATAAAAAACATTAATTAGCTAGGTGATAATATGTACAAAAAAAAAGTAACAATTAGTAAGAATTCACACCAGGACTTAAAATCCTCAAAACCTGTAGCTATGTGTTGCTATATTTAGCTATAATTTCTTAATTTGTTTTTTTTAACATTTTCTGAAAATGTCAGACAAAATAAATTATGAAAAATTATTTTTTTATACAAAATAGTTTAATATTTTTGCATTAAAAGGTTAGGTTTCACGGCAAGATTCACATGTGATGGCTCCGTAACTGACCAAGAAAAAACATTAGCATGTTATTAGCTAAAAGAGGTTATTATTAGCTATGCTATTAGCAAGGGGATATAAAGGTTAGTAGCCTAAACTAACTACTAAGTTGAAACTCAAATAGAGCAATTATGATAATATTTTAAATGTCACTCCTTAATTCTAATTGGTTGAAATATAAACAATACAACGCAAGAAAGATTTAAAAAATGTTTCTTACTTTAGGAGCTTAAAGTTGACTTAAAAGACCAGAGTCAACCAAAAAAATAGAGGTAAATAGTCGTCAGTAACACCAGGGGAACAGAAGAAGGAAGTTAAGTGGCTGATTTTTTTATTTTTTTTCTTCACATTTTTCCCCCTCCTTCAGTTCTGCAGCACCACTGCAGAATATGATTGACCAACACAACACTTACTTTCATAAAGTGTTGACAAATGAGTAAATAACGCGGCAGCTTTTACCTGCTTTGTCAACGTGATGGGAAAGCCGGTAATGTGCTCATTTCTGAAGGTACAAGCTCCATCTAACAGGTCATTTCACATCCTCTGAGGAACCGCTGCCATCGTGAAAGCACTGCTCTTTCGCTCCGTGGTCCTTATATTAACACTCGTGGCCAGAAAATATACTCACCTTCTCTATTAACGCTCTCTTGTCTCTCCACTTTTTCTCCGTGATGTTCTCACTCAATAAGAAATGCATGCGTTTTTCAAGTATTGCTTTCTATTGGACGCTATACCGTCATGATACCTTTGCACAAAGTATGTTATTTAACAAAGTGACTTTTATTTTTTTTTTTTATATAATGTTTAAGGCATCACACAATTACTCCCGAAAAGTCGGAATGGGATATATCACTATATCCCATATCACTATATCACAGTATATCCACCTTTTGCGATGTTTCGATAATCGCTTATCGATTTGAAACCGCACCTCAGACCATCAATGAATTGTCGTCCAGTATTGTTAACTGCATCTGCAGATGATTCCACCGCTCCCATCCCTCTTTGAAACTGTAGCACGACTCGATTTTGCGGTAGTTTTCAACTGTAGCCAAGGTAACTGCTGTCCATTTTCAACTCCACGTTGAAAAATTGGGCAAAAATAACCACATAAAACGCACACACGACCTCTTCGTTACCAAGTAAAAACCCAAAACAGTTGGTGCCAGTCACAGTTAATTTGTTTACTACTCTCCCGAGTTGCTGCCTCCCACGCAGTCTGTTCTACGTCACCTGCATCATTAGCATAGCCTGCTAGCAGCCAGTCAGTGATAAGGAAAGTGATGTGAGGTGACACCTGACGGCTGTCACTGAGGCGGATGAGTGTTGTGGTGACGGCCGTGGACACACACTCACACACATATAGTTAATGCCCTCGTACCCACTGTCACTCATTTGTGATGCCGTCTCAGAACAACCTTATGCTGCTGCTCACTTTCTAGTTTGACTGTTTTGAGCAATGCTTTTACACCAAACAAGAAAAAAAAAGGAATTTTAATTACTTTTTGCTCTATACCGTTCCCTTTAATTTCCCATTCATTAGTCATAATTGACAGACCATTTCATTTGTGGAAACACATTTTCCTGCTCTGTAATCATTATATTACACTTGCAATTAGTTGTTCCTGTCGTAATTATATATTTTCGACACTTTCACGTCAGCAACAATTTCGCTTCAATATCACGCTTGCGCCAGTTTTCCATAACTTAATAATGAACACATTACCAGATGAATCAAATCTGTTTTTCATGTAATTGAATTGTGTGTTTTTTTCCAATTAAGTAATGTACGTTCTGTGATTTCAGCGTATAAATATAAGTAATTAGGGATGTCCCTTATGTAACCCTTTTGTCAAAATCCATTATGCCGATATTGTTCAATCTTAATTTTGTATTTCGATATCACCCGACACCAATATATGCAGCTGTTGTTCCCCATTACTGCGGTAAACGTCTTAGGACCCGACAAGTGATTTCAGCAGATTTGGCGAAACCCAGGCATTGCATTACAGATTTTTGTTTCACCAAATCACCTCAAGCCTTAAATACCATCTCAACGGCCATGCCCCAATGAACACAGGGCAGTAAGTTGGTCTAAACCAGGTGGGACTCGCGGGCCACATTAGTCCTAAAATTGAACAGGGTGGGCCGGGTCAGGAGCAGATAGATGCAGTGTTGGTGTGAACTGATGTGAAAGTCATGCATAAAGACTAAAATGCTTTTATCATTTTCTACACCACCTATTGGGGAATCGTGGGTATTGCAGGGAAAAGGCAGAAGTATAATGATAATATATATATAAATTATATATTTAGAAAAAGTTTGGAAAAGCTGAACGGGCCACATCTGGCCCCCGGGCCTTAGTTTGCCCATGCCTGGACTGATGATGACTGATATGATTGCCAAATGGATTGTGAGGGACTGTGGTCTAATATGATTGTTGAGGACAAGGAGTTTGATAGGATCAAGACCGTCTTTTCTTCACACCTTTCCACGTCTTTCTTGGTACTTGATTCAGAGGAGAAAAACTCTGTCGCCTTCGTCATGGTTCCCCGCTTCTGCTGTTCTTTAATGGGTGGTTTTTCCCCGTCTTTTATTTGAGCACAGACTG